GTACACACACACACACACACACACACACACACACACACACACACACTCTTTACCTTCCTAAAACAAAAATGGTACTCCCAAAGTATTTTTTAGAGCAAATACATTTCACTCTCTACTTTGATTATTCTTATTTTAAATATAGGAAAGAGAGAAAGCCAACTGAGTTTCCTGAGGGTAAAGAAGGACTCTGTAAATGAATGGAGGAAATGTGGAATCCTCAGACAGATCCCAGTCTTCCATCCTAGATCATGAGGTTAAAGAAAAATCCTGGTCTCTCCTCCACCTCAATTATGCCATATGAATATTTTAAAGACCTTCCGTTTTATAGTTGGCTGTACTTTCCATATAAATGGAAGGTAAACAAGGCAGAAATAATACAACAGAATAGATTTTCCAAAAAGATAAGGTCTTGGAATTCAGTCAAGAGACTCATCATTAGGATCTATACCAAGACAGAGACCCATCCCCAGGTTCGCCTCATCGTTCTCCTATCTCAAGTCCTAATACTGGTCATTAGGACCTGATTGGAGTGATGGGGGATGGGGCTGAGGTCTGAGGAAGAAAGTAGGAGTTATAAAAGTAAGTAATTTAGAGCTGACTTTTGTCAGTTCAAGAGAGATGTATTTACTTCAATATCTTGAGAAAACAACTAAGTACACGTGAAATGGTGAAAACAGTCACAATAAAAAGATTTTAAAACTCAAGTATTTTTGAACCCATGTATCAAGCCCACAGGTATATAGATTTCTTGCAAAGATTTAAAAATACCTTTATAGACATGCAACAAGTGTTTTTAACTCAGTAACATATTTAAAATGTGTAAATCTTGCTTAGTATTTCACCCATGATATGCTTATTCAGAACTCAATTCTTTTTTTTTGCAAGTCCCTTTTTTATTTTATTTTTTTATTAATTTATTTTGATTAATCAATAATCACTTCCACATGCTTTTGAGTTTAAAATTTTTCTCCCCCTTCCTCCCCACCACCCTCCCCAAGACAGCACACAATCTGAAATAGGCTATACATTTACATTCATATTAAACATATTTTCACATTAGTGATGTTGTAAGTAAAAATTAAAACCAATAGGAGGAACCATCAGAAAGAGGAAACAAAACTCAACAGAAGAGAAAAAAAAATAGCAATTCAACTTCCATAGTTCTTTCTTTGGATGTGGATAGCATTTTAAATCACAAGGCCACTGGAGATGTCTTAGATCCTTGTATTGCCAGGAAGGGTTAAGTTTATCAATATTAGTCATCACACAACGTGGCTGCTATTGTGTACAACGTTCTCTTGGTTCTGCTCACTTCACTCAGCATCAGAACTGAATTCTTATAATAAGCAACTGTGGAAAGATTTTGACAATTCCGCTAAAGCCTAAGAAATCACATATTACGAATTGTTGGTGAAACAATTCAATTAAAAAACGAATTCCTCAGGATATGAAAGAAGAATAGTTTTTTGAAGTGAGTGTTTTACTAGCTCCATATGTGAACAATAAATAGCTGGGGAAAAGCTTTTTCTTGGTTAGACTCTTGACTCTTATTTCAATAACTTCTACATTGGGATTCACCTTCATACCAATGAAGCACAAGAAAAAAGAATGCTCTTTCCTTAAAGTGGCATTGGGATAATACTGCCAGGTCTGAGAACCAGTGAGCAGGAGTGGAGTAAGAATCACAAAATGGAGGGGTACAAGTATTTTTGCTTGTGGAGTAAAGAGAGACAAGCAGAATTAGGGACAGTGGGCAAAGTCTAACTGAAAGGACAAATAACTACTAGTAAGATTCATTTGCCAAAATGGCCCAGGGGCTTATGGAGACCAGCTTTCTGGTATTTAAGAACAAAAGAACAACCCTGGCATGTGAATGCCTGGTGACTTTAAGAGGATAAAAATTGTAGTATAGGGCAACACATCAACAAATGGCCATCTAGCTCAGGTTTTTGCTAGTGATTGCAGTGGGTGGGAAACCATTAGAAGTTGCCCTCCATGCAGTCAACCTCAAAAAGTTGGAAATATACTCAAAAACCTGATCTGATAGCTTTATCATCCATTTGCTCTAAACTGAAAACTGTCCTCCTAGGGAAACACAAGAGCTACTTTATCCAGGCCCCCATTACGAAGGTACTTCAATAATCATAATAAAAGAAAAGTCCTTTGGCTCAACTACTAAGAATCCTAAGTAAAATCACATTTTAAATGACAAGATTTTTTAACAAATGACAAATTTAAAGAACTGGCTCCTATTAGATAAGACTGCCCAAATAAATGCCCACAACAATTTTCAACTTTGTCTTTAATTTACTCTGTGCTGATAATATAATAGCTAACATTTATATAGTAAGGTTTGCAAAACAGTTTACATGTATGTATATGTATATACACACACTAAACATACATATATGTGTGTATAGATGTATACATGCACATGAATGCAAACACACACACAAACTCCTCTCAATCTGCAAATGGCACTGAACTCTGCTGTATAAACAGGGAATTCATTAGTACAGAGTACTTGATATGAAAATTTGACAGATATTTTCAAAATAACTTCTGGGAAAGAAAGGTCTTCAAAATTAATATTGTTTTGCCCTCTCAGCTATTCTTCTACTACACAAGTGTAATTTGTGAAGAAAGGGCATTTTTGTAGACTTGATGCACTGTTAAGGTTATTAACAAAACAAAATGGGTCCTAATTAAACTAAGAAGGACTAACAAGTGGCTATTTAGGTAAACTATTTTATGGATGTATCAATTTGATTCTTAGGATTTGAAACAAATCTTGATGAGTAAATTGTTAAACCTTCTGGTTGACTGAAAAGGCACACTGTTTCTTTCCTATCCCCGTCTAATTTCAGAATAATCTCTTTAAAGAAGCCATTTTGAAAACAAAGTATGAAAACTGAATTACTGTGCCATTAAATGGCAAATATGAAGAATACAAAGAAACACGGAAAGACTTAAATGATACAAAATAGCAGATCCCAAAGAACACTTTCTACAACTATGTAAGTAAATACAATTGAATGCTAAGAAAACGTGTTAAAGGCAATGGATGAGGTTGGTATTACCTTTGCTAAAGTTAATGTATGTAAGGTTACTTTCTTTTAACAAAGGATACATTATAAAAGGGTAACATTATATTCTTTTCTTTAATAGTTTGGGGGGCATATACTTTGTGGTTTAGGAACCGCTATATTTGCTAGCTGTATTAAGCCAAAGTTTATTTATTAAGAGAAAAAAGAAAAGAAAAAAAGTTTGGAGAAGGAAAGTCTGATTTTTTGGTTGGCAATCATTCTTTTGCTCAGTAGTAGATATTTTTTGGGAAAGGACTCTTGCCATCATATATCGTAGAACCACAGTTACAAGTTAGAAAGGACAAGAGTGGCTATCTAGCACAACCTATACATGAAAGAAAGCCCCCCTATAACACAGCCAACTGGTTGTTCAGTCTCTGCTTGAAAACTTCCAAGGAGGGGGAATTCATCACCTCCTGAAGCAACCTATGATCATGAGAGGCGAGATAGTGAGGTGGAAAGAGTATTGAACCTGGAGTAACAGCAGGATCTTGGTTCTAATCCTCACTCCACCACTGTCAATCTGTCTGGGCCTATTTCTGTACCTGTATAATGATGGAGTTGGATTACACCCCTGGTTCTCAAAGTGTAGCCTGCAGACCCTGGGAGGCCCTGAGCTCCTTTCAGGGGGTGTGCATGGTCCAAACTATTTTCATAACAATACTAAGGTATTACATGCCTATTAAAATGCTCCTCTTTTTTCCAACAACATATCTGTGTGAGGCCACATGTTCTTCAAATACTTCAATTAAAATAACACATCACAACAGACTGAATACCAAAGCAGGTACGAGAATCCACTTGTGTTTTATTAAGCCAGAGATTAAAGAGATTTATGAAAATATATAAAACAATGCCACTTTTCTCACTGGTTTTTTTTGTTTTAGAAAAGTTATTTTCAAAGGTATTATTTATGTTAACATATAATGGGTTTACTATTATTATTTTTAAAATGAATTAATAAATATTTTAAAATTTTATCAGTTTTAATTTCTAATATGCTAAATATCAATAGCTATGATTCATATAACAAAATCTCTTTGGAGTCTGACAATTTGTCAAAGCGTAAGGGGTCTCTGAGAACCACTTGATTAGATGAACATTAAGGTCTACACCAGCTCCAAGTCTATGATCCTATAATCACATATGTAAGTCTACTGCCACATGAAACAAGAACTCAATGAATTCTTGTTGCTGCTACATAGCACAGGGCTTGGTCAAAGGCTGAGTGGCAAAACAGGAAAACTAGTTTCTTTCTGGAAAAGGTGATAAAGAACCTAAAAGCTTCAGGCCGATCTGTTTAGTGCGACAGCAGCCAATCTACTAGAACTAATGTCTCAATTATTAAAACAGATGGCTTAGAGCACGATAAGGTAGTCTGTGGTAGTGTGCATCACCTAGATAGGCTGGGTTATTAGAATGATACATAGTGTAACTGTGTACCAGTAAGGCAGCCATGCAAAGCTCCAAGGAGTTATCCCTCTTAGAACATATTTATAAAATGATCACTAGCAAGCATGGATTTTGATGCATTTGAGCACAAAATCTGCCATTTTGTGAATTACTGAGGACAAATTTATAGAAGTCAGGGTCAAAAGGGTACAATCAATTATCTATCACACAAAAACATTGACTTTATAAAGCTAGAAGAAGTTAGTGGGTCCCAAAAAACTGAACATCCTGTTCTGTTCTAACAGAGTCCAAAATAGAAAATAAAACCCTCTGTAGTTTAGAAAATAAACTCATCTTTAGTTTCAAGGTTTTTCTTGATAAGATGACCTTAAATAGCAGCTTACCGCTCCTTTCATGAACCTATAAATGGTATGTGCATGCTCCATGATCCACCCAGGCAAGGCAATCACTGGACCATCCCCTGTGGTCTATGGGCCCCAGTTCAGCTCAGGGAATACTGACCTTCTCCCTCAGTGCCTTCAGAGCGCTCCAGCTTTGTGTCTTTGTGCTGCCCTTCAGCCACTTTCACAGCCACCGCTCGGCAAATTGCACCAAACTTTCGGTCCAGAGAACGAACACCAGCCTCTCTGGTATACCTAATGACAGGGAGAAAACACTTCCCTTTAGAGGAGCACAACTCAGATACATTCTTGCTTCAGTTTATGTCATTTGCAAAAATGTAAAGTGGATCTCTAGGCCTACTTATGAAATAATGGAGGATGATATAAGAACTGATATTTGTGTTTTCGGGCAGTGGGTGTTACAGTGGATAGAGGGCTGGGCCTGAAGTCAGGAAGACCTGAGCTCAAATCTGGCCTCAGATACTTATGAGCTGTGTGATCCTGGGCAAGTCACTTGACCTGTGTATGCCTCTTCTGTAAAATGAGGATAATAGCAGCATCTCCCTTGTAGTGAGGATCAAATGCGATAATATTAGCAAAGCATGCAGCACAGTGCCTGGGATATAGCAGACACCATATAAATGCTCATTTCCTTTGGTACGCTGTATGTGCAAATTGATGTGGCCATTGTTGTTCCCTGGGTTATAATTTCTTTATATTCAAAGTCTCTTGTTAAACATCTTTAAAAAAATAATTTCAGGCATGTTTTTGGTAGTGACTTTTTTCCTTTAGTGTACCACAGATTATTTTGTAAACTATATTTAATCATTAATTCTTAGTCCTTCCACTATATTATCAAAGTAAATTTGGCCACATTTTGGTTATTCCTTTGTAATATGATGTTTAAAACTACAATCCTACTTTGGCACTCAAGAAAAACCAACAATATTTCTAGATCGAGTTAATGTTTTGGGTATTTTTTCCCCCTAAAAATACCAGGAAAATGAAGTTCTCTCTTTATTCTCCAATGCAAGATGGTAGTTGAGGCAAGCATTCTAATTCTCACCAGTACCCTACCATACGTTTATGCTGCTTATGTCCATTCTCTAAGTTTTCAATTTGGGGACTGGTCAAGGCAGGAAAGGATGCCAAGTAAGCAGTAATTTTAAGTATTCAGGGCCATCTTACAAGCGATGCTACATGTGCCTCAAATGCTAGTGGCTCAGCCATTCATAGAATCACTAAGCTTAGAAAAGGCTTTAGAGACTACCTCACCTAGTTGATTTTGATCTCAGATTTGAGCTGAATTTGGACAGGTATCTCAGAATTTAATGTAGATTTAGATGACAAAAACATAGTGATGGAAGGAAATAGTAGGCATAGTCAGACATATACTTAGGGAAAGTAGACTTCAAAAAGTGCAGGATAAAAATGGTCCAATCCAACAGCTAAAGATTCTAAGGAGGAATGTAGTTCAATAGGGCAGGAAATACCCAGAAGTGAAACCAGTAGGACTATAAAATCACAAATGATCCCAATGAAGAAGAAGAGAGGAAGGAGTCTCTGGTGAAGTCCAGCATTAAAAGGATACACACACACACACACACACACACACACACACACACACACACACACA